AAAGACAATCCTCAAAGCACAGCAGAAAATTAGGTGATTATTACGCACAGATTTCAACCCCAAACTAATTAGATCTGTGTATTAATTATTCCAGGGCACATATGTACCATACAAAGTAATGTGATTAGAACTTGAGATGTCAATAAAAAAGCTGAAAATTAATAATTATTATGCAAATTAGGTAATTAATATGAACAAATTTTAACACAATTTTAACACAAGTCAATGCATTGTCCTCGAGCATTTATGTACCAAGTTTTATTGAAACATGGTACACAAATGCATCTACCTCCTCAAGTTTGTTCCTTCAGTCTGTTACATTATGGCAAAAATGGAATAAATATTTTGACTCTCCTGGGTTCAGCTGGTGCCCTCTCCAAAATTGAGTGTGCTGTTCCATTTGTGGTAATTTAATTAATAAAGGCCATTTTGTATACTGGTAGTTATGTAAACATAACTCAACAGGAGCTGACCAGCATAGCTTGACTTCACGTAACATTCCTGTATCCTCTGGGTGGAGCTACATCAAAGTATTTTTCTAAGGTGCGCACCGCCGTACCATGTATTTCTATGGGCTCTGCGCGAGGTGCTGTGGAGCGCTGGTTGAAGAGACAGTGAAAATGGATGAAATCGAAAAAAAACCCACAAACTCAACTTTGAAGTAATCCTGAGCAACCAAATTTATATACGTTACACACGTAGGGCTAATCTTTTTACACTATTCAGGTGAGTCTGGACAACTATTCCAAAGTACCGAGAGTTTTCGGCTTTTGTTTTCACCGTGATGGTTGCCAGGTGGTGAAAATGCCCGGATGTCCGCTCCGGAGGATACAAGTTTTCTTGTTCAAGAATACAATATTCTTTCAACCACGATGCAGAGGGCAATTATATTTGTATTAGTTTCAGTAGGGAACAAATTAACGATTAACTAAATTGTTTGCCATGTTACCATGGAAATAATTGGTATGCACACCAACAGACATAAACTGTATGTATTAAGAAAATCCAGAGCCTTTTACTAAATCAGACTGGAACAAAGTACATCAATAATTGACAACAAATAAAAAGAAATAATAGAGAACTGTAATAATTTTATTCGAAAAAAGACTATATAAGGTTTACACATCAACAGATAAGTATTGAGATCTCTGGTTGCTAGGTTACCAAGCAAGTTATTTATAACCAGTCATTTGCAATTCCACATGATGCAGTGTTTGCCAATGTTGGGATATATTTTATTTTGCCTAATCAGCCTCTATGTCTGTACAGGTATTGCCACAACTCAGAATATCTCTTCACATCATACAAGAGTATGATGTTTCACATAAACGTTGCAAAATACAAAACAATCATGAATAATCACATCAAAATATTCATCTGGATAGTAGTAAGAGCTGGGCTTACTCAATTTGGCAACAAAATCAAGAGGATCACATGTTGAGTACCGGTAGCTGAGATCTCTAAAATTGTCTATGGTGTGAATGAAATGAAAAAACATTTGTTTAGTACAAAGAGTCTAAATATATATATATTGTGATTCAGTGGGTATACAAGGGTTTACATATATCAAATGTGTACAATATACTAAACCACTACTGGAAAAAGTTGAGTCTCAACAAAGGAATATGATACAAGAACCCTCGAGACATCACAATTTCACAACATTTATTATATTATAAAGCAAATGATTAATTTGCAAGCTTTGAAAAGCTGTGATAATTTGTTTACTGACATAGTGGATCTTTTTCTGATATCACCAAATGAATGTTTGTGAAAATGGATATTGAATGTACAGAGAATATTTTACATGTGTTCAATTTGATTCGCTATAACTATGAATAATTATCAGATATTACAAAACACAGTACATTAGTGAATTTTGTTGAGAATAGAAGAAAAACATTGCTGAATGGTTGTGATTTGTTTTAATATCTCTATTGCTATAGATTACATATTTTTTGCTATCGTGAATGTATCATAATATGAGCCAGTACATGATTCATAATTTACGCAGATATATCAAAAGAAACAGAATTCAGCACAATTAGAATTAAACTGGATCACAATCATGAACCTTCCTCAGACCCTTGACATTAGAAAGTATAACTTAACACTGAATACTTGATATTGGTACACCTATAACATTTAAAAAAGATATAGACTGATATTTGTTTCAATATTCAGTCAGTATAGTTAATTTGTACATGTACTACTGAAATTTAATACATACAAAGGCCTCAACTGTCATTTTAGTCTCGATTTATGTGAAGATTAATAAGAAATAAATATACATTTTTATGCATGAAGAGTTGAGTGTGTCTGTATGCTTTTAATCTGATATCTATTACATGTATATGCAATGATATACATATAGCAGGTGATTTAAATCAAAGGATTTGTCTAAACAGGTGTTCGCATTCAGGTATGTACGAATCCAGGTGAGCGTAGGTAACGTGTTGAAATTTTTGGAAGAATGCGTCTTGGTTTGTGTAGCTGAAATTTCTCTGTTCCAATATGTATATGTTTGGGTATTTGTCGTTAATATAATTATATAACTGTCTTCATTTTGTGAAATACATGTGTGGGTATGTGTTGGGGTACGGTCTGTGGGAAAAGTGTGACCCTGATACCTGCATAATAATGTATAGATGCACAGTCTTTGAATATGTATACAAACAAGCAACCTCATGTGATCAGCTCTTAGAATACTAATAAAAAAAAGCCTCGTAAAGAAAGCCTCAAAAGGTACAGTAATACAAAAGTGAAGCACAAAATAACATCAAAGTTGATTACAAATTAAAACCAAGTAAAAATTCATTTTGCTATATATTAAAAGTCCAAACTACACTACGATCACATTTAATTATTATTAAAGTGCATCGGTATGTCTCTCAGAATATCCTACTACCCTTTAAGCTTCAGTAATCACAGGGGAGTTGATTATTCTGTGAGGGAAGTGAAATTAAAACTACATCATGGACTACATTGACAAGAATTTGATTGGTATCAATTTTTATAACGTCTTCTCAGGGTATGAAAGAATAATACTCCTGATCATTTCAACTAATTTGTGATATTCATCCCTTCTGCAATTCTCCTGTCATCCCTAGATGATAATGGTTGCACCCACTTCATGTTGGTATAATAGGGAAACATTTGTAATCAAAGGTAATGTCAAGATGCCATTCTAAATATAGAAAAATATTCCTACACTAAAAAGATTTTATTACTACAGAAATATGGTTTTCTCATTATGAACTTGGTCATCATCCCATCCATGACAACATTTGCGTATTTTATTTCTTCATCAGGCCACTGAAAAAAATCAGATAAGAAGACATTGGGTAAGTCATGATAACCACACTACATGAAGATCAACAATAACATGGATGCGAAGCAGGCTAAAAATGGACAAGCAAATTACAAGTGTATAAACACAGCATACTACACAGTTACAGACAAAAAAAAGGCAGCTCTACATGGCGTGTAATGAACATAGAACTACAGTGACTAAATAACATGCGTAAGGTGAATCTCTGAAGTCTCAGACAATTAAATACATATAGAGCCACATATTTATTGTCAGTATAACCTACCTACTAAAGTTAGTCTCTGTTTGTTGACTTTTTACTGAGTTTTATAAAATTGTCGAACAATTTTAATACTTTGGAAACAAAATGGCATAATTTTTTCAATTAAACAGCAAAATATTTTTGATTTATTATACTATCATCAAATAGCTCTGTCATTCAAAATTAATGAAAAATCTCCCTAGCCAACCACCTGAAGGTGTTTGGATTCTATTAATAATCACCCTATTTTCACCACACAAATCAGAGTCGAGATAGATGGTTGGGAAGATGAGGCTGGTTGTAATATGCCATCTTGTTCCTTAAACGTTAAAGCTGTCTTAAAAATTTATAAATTTAAGATATTCTACTACCAAGTTGGAATGTTTTTCAATATAAACAGTTCAACCAGGCAAGTGGTCACAATTTGAGAAATGTTCTGACAATGAACTTCATTTTGAAACATGACTGTCAATAATCTATCAGTTCCCTGAATGGACAAGTTGTGTACATGGACAGACACACAGACAACATAAGCTCCCATTCTGTGCTCTGCATAAAGGGTACTAGACTATTAGTATGACACAAGCACATGTATAAAATGGTATATGCTGTAAACAGTTTAATTTTGTGAAAAATAAATTTACGTGAATTTCATTTCGAAGCAGTGACAATTTTCGTGAGTGTCAGTTACTTTCGAAAACTTCTTTTTACATATATCATAAGATCATCAACCCTCGCAAGTTTTTAGTGGCAACAATTAAGCGGTTTACAGTACATTAGCATGCCATCTACCAACAGATTGAAAAAAATACCAGCTGTCAGGGATATTTTTTACCAGAACTGCAACTTCAACCCAAACAGCAAAGACATCCATATCATATTTTTTTAGTTATTTGAGAGTACAAATGTTGAATTGATCTCAACAGGGTTCCAGTTAGCACATTTGACAACTGACTAACATACTATCAAATATTATAAAGAGAATATACTATTATACAGCTTGGACAAAAAAAAGCATTATTTTCCCTTGCAATATTCCTAGCCATGTAACTTCATGCAGGAATCCTAATAATGATGGAAATGATGCTTTCATAGTATTAAATTAAACCATAATTACTAAATAGTAACTACAATTCAAGTTAATGTTGCTGAGTTTTCTTGGACAATACCATTATCAAATTTTGGAGGGTTGTAGATGCCTTATTCTGAAGTTACTAAAATCAATAAATATTATAATTTTGAGATAAACATGCTTTTTTTAAACAGACCATTTTTTGTATTCACCAAAAAAAAAATGTTTATAGGTTTTTAAACATCAACAAAACAAATTGTCTGATCCAAATGACCTTAATCCTCAAAAATTGAGTTTCAAAAAATGTGAAAGTGAAAAAATAACCTAATTAAGTTTTGATAAGAACATGAATTCAGTTCAGTGGTTAGACAGGTTATTTATTAGAGACATCAAGGGAACTAACATTCGGGATGGATAATAGCCAAGGGGACGAGAATCAGGATTTCAAAAAACTATCTTATATAGGGAAATTTAACATCCTTTTTTCGAATCAATTGCTCCATGTTTCACTTGTTCACTTGTGACCTATTATCAAAGATTGAAAAATCAAAAAACTGTTGCTAGCTAAAATCATTAAAAATTAAATGGTTTACAGTGTTTCCTTTATTAATTTGTCTGCGATATACTAGATTTAAAGTAGTCTTCAAGTAGTGTCGATATCATGATAACCAAGGACATGGCAACATGTTTGTGAATCAGTGAATGTGTGTGTATAACACACTTACCTTACTTCCCAACAAATGAACTGATGTTGAAATAGAATGAGGGGGAAAAATAGTTTTACTTACTACTAATACTCATAGCACAGAAATGGATTTTTATACAACAACTGTCCTGATTTAAAAAAGGGAAACCTACTATTTCAAAAGTGAAACAGATAATATTTCTTTTTTGTTGCAAACTGATGTAGATAGCGGCTCAGGTCACTTTAATATACAACGATAGGTGTACGTCATCTCTAACTGCATTTGACCAAATGCATTCAAGGGTTGTCTCGGCTAACCTAACTTTTGAGACAGAAATCTCCTAAACTTTGCTAAGTCATTCTTTGTATGTATTTTGCCCATTTTCAAATCCAAAATGGTCACTAACGAAGGGTTAAACACCACGAGAAAATTTCAAAGTCAATGGAAACAAGTTCAGATACCTTCGATTTGCTCTCTGTCCTTTATTCGGAAACATATCAAGTATTTGTAATGCTTGTGAAATTTCCGCATTTCTGCTACAGTACAACTTTTACATGAGGTCTCACATATTTCATTTTTTTTGGTCAAATATGACAGCTGGTCATATCAAATCAGTGTCACATTGTTGTCAAATCAAATGTTCGCAAAATAATTGCCAGGAAAATATTGCTTTCACATCACAATAAATATTTAGTACATAAAACTGTTATTATATCATTTATTCATTGGAAATGTGTAACAGTGAACAGATTGAAAATGAAAAATATTCATGTATTGTATAGAAGCAGAGATAAATTATATAAAATAATATTATGATTTTCAAAAACGTGATCAAGAAATACAAAGCAAAGGACAAATTATAATGTTAGACTGAACTTTGAAATTGTGTGTTACGTCATACTTGGACCACGCTTCATTTCTATGCGTAGAACTGAGTAAAATATGGTCTAAAACGTTTAAAAATACTGGATGTACTATTTCATCTTTTCCAGTTCCTGTGAAATAAACACAGGATAATAATTTGTCTTTTGGTTTAGAGAAACTGATGTAAATAAAATTTTATTCTTTACACAAAATTGAACTTAATATTCAATAATAGGAACATGCTATTTAACCCTGATGCAAATGTGACAATGATGCGATGCAATAGTGTTATGCGAAAGGTTTACTCTGGTTAGCTGCATCCATCTTTAAGTAGCTCTCTGATTGGATTTGTAAACTATTTAAGACTTGAACATGACTGGTCAGATGCTGTTACTAACGGCTGTGTATTACAAGCGACCAAAGCCTCTACCTACATCAGATTTGAATCAGATTGCACTCGGAGAAGACACTTTAGGTTGATTGGTGTTTTGGGACAGTAATGTGATATATGCACAAATCAAGAGATTTTCATACACGTTCAAATTTCAATGATTTTCAGCACATCAAATATTTGACGTACAAAAGGATCACCTAATTTTCAAAAAACAATAAATGTACTTCAGTAAATAAACATTGTGAGACCACACTAGCAGCTGACAATGTAACTTTCCCAATCATGTGATTAATCTAATAGACAATGTATCTATGTATTTGCAATTTCAATCAGTTTCCTTCGGTTTAACACTTTCTTGAATCTTTCAAGTGAAAAGATTAATTTGTGAATTTCTGTCAGCAGTAATTCCAATGCAGGGTGAATTGCGACAAATCACTAGGAGACAGTGATCATAGTGTAGCACTTTTTAATATCATGTTACATACACTATATATTTCACTTTGCGAATATAACACAGCAACCACAGTCATTCAAACATTACCAATCTGTTTGTCACAATTTTTACACATGTGTACTATCAATAGTGGCACATAACTGTACCAAAACACTAATTTCTAAAGGTGTCATCTCAGCTAGAGTGCAATTTTGAAGGCCCAGTCTCATCAATCGGAATTCTAATTTTCATTGATTACGTTACATATCAGTTTGTCATTGTTCTTACTATGAGAATTAAAATCTTGGAAAAAAATTGTTCTTAACATGAATAATTAAGATTTGTCAAATATTTATTTTTGAAAGCATATTGATATAGGTGTCTTGGTAGATGAAATGAACAAGGTGCATGAGAACATGAGGATTAATCTATTATAGAAACCCCCAAGCCATAAACAAAATAAAACTAGTAACCAAGCTGATGATGGCATACATGTGCCACAGTAAACATACAATGTCAATGCTATTTACAACAATCGATCTTATTTTTTGGTTTTTCAGCAAGCACTGACTGACTGACTGTTTTTTATTTATGCATTTATATGCGCCGATTTTTCACTACCAATCAAACCACTGACAAACAATGAAATTCTGTTTTCATTTGCCATTTTCAGTGTGGTACTGGTAACAAGTTGCAGTTCTGGTTGCAAATAGGGTAGTACACAGTCATTTTGAAAATGGATAAGATGTACATAAGAGCTTGCCATAAGTTCGTGCAATTCTTGAAACTACGACCAAGCCATGTATGTCTTGTTAACACATTGACAGCCATGACACCAGCATCTGGCTAATGATGGATTGACAGGAGTGCACGTGAGCAGGCTCAGACATCAGCCCAAAATTTAGATGATGTCTAAAGGAAACATGCCTAATGAAATGGCACATATTGCAAACGATAAAGAAAATACAAAGAACTAAAATGTGAAAGAAAACACCTCAGTCATTGTTGAGCCTGTATTCAGATTTCATGAACACAAAATGAATATAATTTATATTATGTCTTATGGAATCCATATCGAACACAGTGTGGTGCGACGACTGTGGTGTTAACATTTTTCAATGCTTTCACGAATAATCATCAACAGGCTGTTTTCACCTCTTAGTGATTGAGTCTGAGGAAACTGCAGAGCAATATACCCTGATTATTTTGAGTCAGCCTGCTGAGATAATTATTAATAAAAGCTTGGCATCACATAGATATAAATCATTACCTCAATAAATCGATGGGCAGTGGGAATATAATAGTGGAGTTCTTCTCTGCTGATATGGTATTCAGAGTCTGGAGGTAACGCAGCTGCAGAGCAGACGGCGATTCAGAGATGACATCAGCTGCTTCCTTTAAAGCACGTGCTGCATTTCTTTCTCCTTCAGCAGCAATCACCTATGAGTACAATTGTTACTGTTATTACTGAAATTCTCCTACCAGTTTACATCTGTAGCAAATGAGTAGCAGTACCTCTACATTAATTTTAAATCATACATTGAATAGTTTGAATAATATTAATCCTGGAAACTTTCACTTTCACAAAAAATTCATCAAAAATTTGATCAAAACCTTAGTTATTTTGGAAAAATTTGAAGAAAGTTGCACCAAAATATTATAAAATATTGTTAGCCATATTTAGACATTGTGTTACATCATGGCAATACAATACAATACAATACATTAGTTATTGGAACCACAAGAACGACGACACCGACATGGACAGACTTCTTTCAAATACATACCCTTACAGGCAAAGCAAAGACAATGTTGTTTTACAAACAGTTCAGTGCATCATGCATATCATGCATATAACTATAAATCTGTGTGCACGTTCTTGGCCGTCACGTATTCTATACTAAGCAACACATTCAGTTTTTTGACGTTGAAATATGTGATAGTGTCATGATCAGAAAGCTACATACCTTTGCTCTTGCCTCTCGAGCAGCCTCAGCCTCTGCAGCCATGGCACGTTGTAACTGGACTGGCAGACGTACATCCTTACTGCAATTTAAGAACAATTAAATAATGAGATGACAAGAAATATACAGAAAATTCCTCCAATGTAATAATTGCAATGGACATGTAGTTGTCGGAGTGTCTAACAAGGCAGAGAACCTACAGTGTGCATCTTGGATTTTTCAAAATGCAAACATTTACGTTTATTTGTTTATTGCACCAGAATGACCATTTTTACAGAACTGATAAACAAAATAAAATGGTAGTAATTCTGATGTGGACCATGGAAATAGTCCTTATGGACTTGTCCAGTCCATTGCCCAGACTGCCAAGTAGAAATTAATAAAGTACTGGTAAAGTAAAGGAAAGGAAAATTACTATTTACATGACGAAAAGTAATCTATAAGATTTAGATATAAACATGACGAAAATTCTATGTGTAATAATAATATAAACAAACTACTGGTACAACAAATTTATATGCAGAAGAAAAGAAAAAAATGCAGAGAAGTGGGAAACGAAACAGGCTTGAAAAGAAATGACAAATAATTGCCTATAAAAAGGTCCAAAAAGTTTCCACTATGACCTACTACTGAGAAATGTGGAAACATAATCTTTCAGTATGGATAAAAGACAAAGTGATTCTTAAAAACATGTACATTATAATGCGCATTTGTGCCATAAACTTCAGGTTTTCCCGACATTTTCCATACAAAATGTCAGAATGTGTCAACCCTGAAAGTTATGAGACTGTCGCTAAATTAAAAAGACCTACTGAATTTTAGAGCTACAGAAAATGCTCAACACTAGAAAATTTATAAATTGAATATTGGTTCTCAACAAATCACGCCATTATAAACCTGATTGGAACATGACGCATATGTAATAGCATTGTTTGATTTACTCACATTTCAACACGTTCCACTTTGATACCCCAAGGGTCAGTTGCTTCATCCAAACCAGTCTATATTAATTTAAAATGAATGTTTGTTAGAGACAGGGGGAATATAAATGGCCTTTTTATAGTGGGAGGAAGTACTCACATTTCAACACGTTCCACACGTATACCCCATGGATCTGTGGCCAAATCCAAGATCATCTACAGTGTGCAAAATAAATCAGACAAGGCGAAAAATGAGATTATCAATGTTTCTGTCAGAGAGAGAATAACAAATTCACCTAGATGAGTGAAACCATTCCTACCTTACACCCAATCAGTGGTAAGATATGGATTGAAACTCCTTGGTATGACTCTAACATGTCCCTAATTTAGAAATAAAACACCTCCATATTGCTGGAAGCCACCAATTACACCATTCCTAAATTCCTTAGTAGGAAGAGGGGCACAATCTAAAATCCCTAATAATTATTAACCAAAGCTAAGAGAGAGGTTACATTGTACTTGCTGTTGTATAATCCTTGTTTAAACCTAGCTGACTCCTTAGTAAGAAAAAAGCTACAAAGGTACAAAACTAATATTTTATGTTTAACTAAAAACTAGTAAGACAGGTATCCAACACTGAATCAAGATATCCTGTAAGTGAGGAAATTGCTTACTTTCACTCAAAATCTAAAAAGGACATTGGTGGAATACATGCCCCAACCAGGTAATTTAACAAAAAGTAAGAGGTGAAACCAACACTGCATTTATCTGTGATATGTCTATCGCGCACACCTGTTTATACCCTCCTGGGATAGAAGTTTACGGGTTTATATTTATCAATTGTCTGTGTTGCCATGCTACTCCAAATAATTTTGTTGATACACAAAGCAGGAAGGAAGTAGAATGGGCATATGATGAAATGGTACATGTACCTTGGACCCCGAATCACAAAGCATAGCTATCAGCGACTTTTGGCAACTACTGCAACATCACATTTGGATAATCAGAAAATTAAAAAATAATCCTGGGGAGTCTGTTGTGTGAAGCAATATGGAAGTGTTTTATTTCTGAATTAGGGACAAGATCAAAAAGTTTGGAGTGATTGATTGGGTGTAAGGTAAGTACGGCTAAACAAAATAAAACAACATAGCCAAACATGCATTCCATATACAGCTATTTGTAATAGTACCCATGCTCACACCTCAGTCAAGTATATTACAAGAAGAAGAAGATGCCATACAGGGAACCGAAGACATCTGCAAGTACATACATGTACATGGTACCACGCATGAAAATGAGCAATTAGAGTGAGAAGGCCCATAACTAGGAGGTCTTCATTATATCACAATATTGTCTGGATTTTAAGATTTTCGCTTTCAAAAGTATAACAATATACACTTTTTTAACTTTGCTGTTGTGGCATATTGGTTTAAAACTCATTATTGTTACTACATGTATTACTACATGCAGATATGTATCTACTTGAAATATGACTTGTGAAGTGTTCATTTACCGAATTACATAATTCAGTGTAATATAATTCAGTTCCTGATTGGCTTTTAAACCTACGATTATCAGATCCTCTACATGACCAGGAGGGTTGCATATCATGGTAATTTTACACACGGTTGTCCTACAACAGTGATAATTCTCAATACTATAACTATATTTCTGCTATGTAAACCCTTTAAAAACCATAATTTTTTCTGATACAATTTTGGTGTGATATTTTGTACATGCAAGTGTATAATGTATTTTTCTAGAAATTTGTTTGTTATTTTCGGACCAGACATAATTTTAGGTTGACTACAAGTCTTGTAATTTTATGTAAAATATTATAAAAAATGGTGGGTTTAATTTTGTGAATGGTGGCAATAGTTTACATCGACGTTTAAATTGTTGAAGTGTTTTTAATGACCAATGGTCTTGAGGGGTGCATCATAGACTGAGGTGATACCTTGTGTTATGTAGTTGTACCATATATAGATATTGACACCCAACCAGACAGGATGCTAAAAAAATGCCTGTTGAGTTGATCTCGGAGACAACTTCAAAAACACAATAGTTTTGAAAGTGTAAAACAAGTGCAACATCTAATCACAGTGATAAAGAATGCTTTACAAACAAATGCTGATTTCAGGAAGAATTTAGAGAGGATTGGAAAAGGATTGACCTTCGACACAGAAGAGGAGACAAGGATCAAATCAATACAGACAGAGTGAGCCACAAGGAAACAGTGCAATCTGGAGTGCAAGCAAAGAGAATACTGCCTGATAAGTACCGGTACTCATGCCTACACCTCAACCAAGTATACTATACAAATATGTTCATGCAGATGCCATACAGGCCACTGAAGACACCTGCGTGAACACATAGTACCACACACACCTAGAATCAAACCAATGAAAAGTAAAGTGAGAAGGCCCAACCACAGTATATAAATAATCTTGTGCGCTGTTACACATTGGATCTTTTAATGCATCAGTTAAGAAAGCGTGATTCCTTATAGTGTAAATGTTAGTACCGGTAAATCTAACATATATGAGGTCATATTAGTATGTCATTATCTAAAATACAATGCAAATGTCTTTACAACAGTAATGTTCAGTTCCAGTTCATACATATATACATTGGACCTAACAGACTGAATATATACTTCTAATTTGATATTCATTTTATTAAAAATATATTTAACTTGGCCAAACAATTTCAAAAAACAAAATGAGATACTTGTTCAGGTTTTGAGTTTATTTTTAAGGGTCAAACTCAGAAATTGACACACTGTGCTTACATACATATTAAATTGGGTACAGTATTTATTCTATATACTCTATATCAAATAAAAGCAAGAGTGAGGCAACAATGGCATTTATATGCTGGATTATTGAAATATGACTTATTTTGTCTAATTATACACCTTTGCTATTTAGGTATGGCGCAACACAGATCATAGTGGCAGGTATGAGAAGCATGCGTTGGAAGGGAGCAGGTCAGCAATGAATACAATTATTAGTTTGTGATACATGAACAAAATCTGGAACCAGCTACATGCGCCATTTCAAATATGAGCAGTCGTTAATTATGTATATACGCAAGCTTTCTTGATCTGCTACATGTTTAATTCATGACAATACAGCTTATGTAAAAACATGCAAATACGTATAGTCACCTGCATCTGGTGGCTGATAGTCTCTCTATCCGACAAGATTTCAGAGAGGTTTCTGGTTCCCAATACATTTCTAAGCGTAGTTTGAGCCAAAAGTCGAGTGGAGTGGTTAGCGTTCTCCACGTTGGCAACTGATATGGTTGCATTGTTGACGCGGTAATAGACCACGGCATCCACAGAAATGGTAACGCTGTCCTTTGTCAGCACCTAGTCGGAAAAAAGCGCATTCACAACACAATGAAAACAGAGAATGTTAACAATGAAAACAGAGAATGTTAACAATGAAAACAGAGAATGTTAACAATGAAAACAGAGAATGTTAACAATGAAAACAGAGAATGTTAACAATGAAAACAGAGAATGTTAACAATGAAAACAGAGAATGTTAACAATGAAAACAGAGAATGTTAACAATGAAAACAGAGAATGTTAACAATGAAAACAGAGAATGTTAACAATGAAAACAGATACATGTACATGTATATAGCATTGAGGGTTTTTTTCTTCAATTTTGACTAATGATATTCAATCTGAAACAAATCTAATGCAGTTGTACATCTGATCAAATTTAGATAAAATAGGTAGCTCTTCTTTACTATAAGGTTTGTTGAACCAAATTACAAGAAAGCATGCTTTCATATTAGTTATGATTTGTTGATGATTTTAAGGTTGCTAGACATGCTTGTTAGACTAATAAAATACAAATCTGGCCAAATTTGTCTTCTAAATGTGGGCAGATTGCTTTTTATTTTTAAATACTAAAATAGTCATAAAATTTTAGAGCATAAATAGTCATAACATATTTAATTTTTTGTTATGAAAACAGAATTTTAAAATAAAAGTTAAAATAAAAGAACTGGTCAGATATAGTTTGAGTTTATTAAAAACAAACAGAGCCACTATCAAAATGTGATTTTTAACCAGAGTACTATACATGTACTATGATATACATAATGATACAGTTCAAAGTGTTGTAGTTGGGTCAAAACATCTAGTGGGATTCAACAAACACAAGTATTTTTGGGTATGTCCATGTTTTATGTGCTATACACAAAACTATGAAAAAAATAGAATTTCAACTTCAAAATCAAATCTTTTTTTGGCCACAGTTATTCGTTCCTTTCACATAAAATGTGAGATCTCACAGTGAACAGAAAATAACCAATTGCAAAATTTTAATGTGAATACAAATCTAATATAAGGTCTATGATAGAGACAGAGCTTGAGTTAGTCTAAATTAATAACTTCCATTGATTATGCACACTTTATCTGAGTGAGAACCGATACTGTAAAATAATTTTCGCTGAAAAGACTTTTTAGGTGTTTTGTATGGAATTTATTTTCACTGATTTTTGATGCGCTGAATGTAAAATATAGAAAAAAAAGTATCTTCGCTGGATTTTATTTTGACTGAATCATTCCTTCAGTGAAAATAGCGAAAATTAATTCCAAGCAAAAATAAAGGATTTCACAGTATTCATAATAAGCAGCCTCTCGACTGAGATAGCTCCGCTGTTAGCAATGCACATTTCAATTATAGAACAGAAGATATTATTAGAAAATGAACGATATGTATAGTATCAAAACAATCAGACTTGTGGTTTTCAACAAGAAGTGGAAAATATCACTTTTTACCAAAAATTACAAAAATATTCTCCAAAATTAGAGAATTGAAGATATCATCACAAAATGAACAAATCTGAGAGAGGTCCACATGTAGTACCTATATATGTAATATCAAAGCAATTGGACCTGCAGTTTTCAAAAAGAAGTTGAAAATATAACTTTTTACCAAAAATGACAAAAATATTCACCAAAATTAGAGAATTGAAGATATGATCATGAAATGAACAAATCTAAGAGAGGTCTACCCAAGGTACATATACACCAAGTATCAAAGCATTCAGGCTTGTAGTTTTCAAGAAGAAGTCGAAAAAGTAAAACATTGACACGAACGACGACGGACAATCACTCATATGATAAGCTCCACTCAACAAAGTTGACAGCGAAGCTAAAAAGCTGGGGTGAGAAGGCAATGAAGATCAAACAAGTAAATTCTCCTCGACAGCTTCCACACTTTTACTGGTAAATAGATCAGCAATTGAGTATGACAGATGTCATTCTACGATAAAGAAAAAATTAAATTAACATGGACTTCTCTTTTCTTCAACTTTATTACTCAGATCCAATGTATCTATACATATATATGTATATAGGCTCATACATACAATGTACATGTACCTCCACTTCGTGTTCAACCTAAACAATGTGCTCAATTTGGCCATAGAGGGCAACCTTTAGACACCAAAGAATCCAATACTGTAGAATACTTTATTTTCGCTATTTTCGCTGAAGGAGTGATTCCGTGAAAATAAAATCCAGCGAATGTACTTTTTTTCCTATATTTCACATTAAACTCATCAAAAATCAGTGAAAATAAATTCCAAGCAAAAAGCCTTTTCAGCGAAAATTAATTCCAGCGAAAATAAAGTATTCCACAGTAATCTGGTACAATCAAGTTGGCTAAATACACTAGTTATTATGTATTAACTAAATGTACTAATTTTAGGTATGCTTCAGACTTTCGGGTAGTTAGGCCTTATTTTGTAATTGCAGTGCTGCTAACACATTGTCTGCTGACCCTATTTTTCCAGTTCATTTCAGCTAACTACCAAGGCTTTCAGCAGGCAATGAATTAAGAACGAACCAAGAGTTACTTTGGTACATGTAGAACGTTAAATTACAGAACCAAACCCACATGACAGAGGACAGAGCAATGCATAACAGGAAAACCATTCCCTGGTCTGGTGGGTAGCATACATGTTTACTGGGTTAATTTGCACTCAGCATTTCTTACGGAATTCAGGCACTACTGGAGCTAGGCAATTCTGTTGTAGTTAGTCCAGATTCATATTCAAAGATAACAGAATATACTATAAAAGTATTAATTTAACTGATTTCACTGATCAGCAAAATTGAAACACAGGAAAGATCGGGTAAGAATCTCATATTCAAAATTAGGTAGAACTAGTAACTGCGTTACATAGTCCCATATGTTATCAAGTGTAAGAAATATATAAAGTTTGAACATGGACAATCAGAGCATGTCAAACTTGAACTTTATTCATTAAAACAATTTAAAATGGCTACCAGTCTGCCATTTTGAATCTAATCTGAAAAACAAGGATGCAACAAGGCCCTATAATGTCCAATGCTTGTAATGTACCAAATTGAAATAAAATTTGCTCCCACACGAAATAACAGAATTGTTAGCACAAAAATGGTCAAGAAATAAATAGACATACATAAGTATCCAAAAATCCTTGTGATTGTTCAAGGCATGTCCAAGATACAGGTGTACATGCACATACATGTAAGACAATGCATAAGCTCTTGTTTTAAGACTTCCTCTGAATAGATCAAATACACATACATGCTGTTACACATTATACCGAGGTAAGTGTACATCCTATTTTCATGTATCCTTGAATTTTAAAATACAGAGAAATATGAAGGTAGACTATTCTTCAAGTTATTATGTGTAACAATACAATTTACGTACCAGAGAATAAATTAGAAATTTTAACTAGCATACATATTGTGCACCATGCATCAAATATTTAAACTTTGTATTTTTTAAAACATGTTAATTCTTTGTCATTATTAATTGCGTGTTTTTAGGACCAAATGGTCTCTTGTGTGATCTTTTACTTGTGATGGCTTGTATTTCCAAAATGTCCTACAAGTATATGCATGATGTGGCTCATCAGGTTTCAGGTCTGCATACACAGGCTCAAAAAACAACATTTACTGTGCAGTGGTGCACCAAAGTTTTTCAAACGGTGCGTATGGGCATTTGAACATTGCATCATTGATTCTCACCTCTTGTGGAGGCACACTAAATGATACCACTCTCAGATCAACTACGTTGTATGAGTCTGTACAAGGTAGAACTAAAAAAAGCCCTACAAAAAAAAGAGAAGAAGCAACCTAAATTCTCATGCGCGGTTTTCTAAACTCACCTCTTGGGGTGGGACATCAAATGAGATAGTTCTCAAATCAACTTTGGTATAATTCTCAATACAAGGCAGGACGAAAAAGATACCTGTATACGAATAAAAACAAATGAGCGATTTCAAAATCAGGAATTCGCTACGTGTTCCCTGTGTGTGATATTTTCCATGGTATAGGTTACCAGGGTGAATTGTCTGAGCCACCAAGAGTGAGGGATGAGTTCTGAATAATAATTAAGACAGATATAGTAAGAGAGAACATACCAAACATATTACACAACAATACATGTAAATTCTGGAAGCATGCCATAAAATCTTTCAAATCTTTCGCTTTGACACATGTAATTCTGGGTTGTTATGGTAACACAATCCGAAAAATACCAAATGTATTTATTATTGTGAAACAAACAGTCATTAGATGATTATATTCAGTCAGAATGTAAGTCAAAATTTAGATTCCAGAAAAAATATATCTGATTTGTTATCAAACAAACTGCTATTTTAACAACTTTTAACAATCACATTAATTGATCATCCTTGGTTTTTTGTGATGTATACAATGCACTTACGAGCAAATTTCAGACATGAAAATGTCATAAATAATAGCATGCTTCCAAATTCCTCCAAGCACAACTTCTCACATATGTTCCTGTTAGTGGCAGGCCAAATTTAGCGAACAATTACAATGTACAATTGTATGTATACAGTCTAGATAATTGATTGCGAATAATATATTGATTTTTCTATTGTTCATATCACTGCATATTATTCTTCAACAATGTTTTTATAGGTCCAAGAAGAAAAATCATAAACTTTTGCTGAAAATATTTGCTGTCAACAAAAGTTGAATTGTGTATTATATCATGCTGCATGTTGACAGAGTGCCATCAACAAACCTGCAAATTGTTGTAAAGAATAGAGCATGCATCTATTTCAATCAACAAGTTGCAGATTGTTGAGGAATCTCTCTCATGATGAAACAATGTATGATACACAGATCAACATTGGTTAACACCAAAAGTTGCAACCAAACTGATTTGTATATCATGGCCTTAAGATGAACAAAATCTTGGAGAACCTAATAATTATAATTATTTGATCAGAATAGAAACAAAACGAAAATCTGCCAAACTATTACATGATCTAATTCCAGTGTTGCTTGTCATACATTTCCACTGCTTTATACTGTTTTCATATTTTTTGGCTACTTTTAGATGTTTATGTTGTTGTTATATTTTGTAGTTCATGTAACTTAGTTTCTTTTTGTCTATCAAAAGTTTTTTCATTAGTCTTTGAGTGAAATGTATTTTTTTATTTGGTGCAGCTCCTAATTTACATAGTGAGCCCCTGTTACAAAAGGGAAGCAATAAATAACTAATAATAATAATAATAATACTGAGTTTACTTGCAAAATATATGTGGAAATGAAGTTTCAGTAGATCTTACTTTCACTGATGTACGTTCCAACCAAAATAACTTTCAAATGTCATTAATGTACCGGTAAGTACCATATTGTTATACCACTAACAGAAATGTGCACATGTATACATGTATGTGAGAAGATAGAATGGTACCGGAAGTATATTAGAGCGTTAGTCTTTTCAGAATCAGGATAAAATTTGTAAGAACCTTACCATCTGAACTTGTATGCGCATACATGTATGTGAGTTTACAAATCTATTTTAATCTATTTTGTTCCATTATTGCTCAATAGAACTTAGAGATGAAGTTTTATTTGTTATGCTTTTCAAATTAGTGTTCCATTTATTCCCCTCATTGCGTCCACATCCCACTGACCTGTGTAACAATGGTATTTAAACAGTGGACAAGATGAAAGGAGAGAATAGAGCACTGATGAAAAGTTACATCCCTGTATTAACATGTGCTGGTTTTGTGGCAGCCCTAAAATTGGCTGCTATGTAAACATTGTCATTGGATGGGATCCACATACATGTATGCATATAATGTTATTAAGATGACATTTTTCTTTTAATCACAAAAAGTGCAGTTACAATTACAAATGATGAGTTCATGTTCTTTGGTTGCTTAGTTACGATGTGCATGAAAAAGAGGTCGATGAACGTCAAGATTGTTTGTTCAACTGAAAAACTGAGGCAAACAGGCTAAAGAAAGGCCCTTTTCTATTGTGAGTGCACTCATTAAAAAGCAACCAGGAAACTAATATCTCATCTAGTGTTAGTGCATGACCACTCTAACATAGCTACTATTTAATTATGCACAAAACAATGATAGAAGTAAAATGTTAATATTACAATGGTAGACACAGACTGTGCATGCATGACACATATGATTCAATGAAATGAACTTGGATTTGTTTGAGTTTGATTAGCTGAAATTAAAGTACAGATGTGGAAACGTTACAATGTTAACAACTGTACATATACAACTCATACATAGCATCATTGAACTAGGTCTTCTGTACAGCAATGTAGACATGTTTTTCTATCATTAATCCTAATTACTGCTACTCCAGTTGTCTTAGTCTAGTCATCACCAAAGCAAAACAAAACTGGCTGATATGTTTTTCATACAATGCATTGAAATTGAATTAGATCACAGTATTAAATACCAAAATTGGGAGGTGACTATACATACACTAGGACAACTACAGCACAAATAATTTAATAACAATGTACACTTAAATCATACAATGCATCAAATCTTTACACACTCAACATCAAAACCATGACTGATACTTCCAATAGACACACCTTTACAGGTAAATTAATAACACCACACTAAATACCAGCAATTTTCAAGTTGACACATCAAGGTTTCGCCATCAGGAAATTAAATTTCACGCTTGATGTTGTTAATGAGACTGACAATCCAAATCAAATCAAATCAACTGGCTTTAATTGAGAGGAAGAACTCATAATTCAAGGTGGTACAAAGTATGTTTACGAGAATAAGTAATCAACTGAAAAATTTTAAAATGTACATCATTCTTGATTAAATTAATAACTGTCAATCAGATTAATAATGCATCTTTTTTTCCCTGTAGTTTGATAAACAGTGTGTGCCAAACATAGAAAATACTATAGTATGATCAAAAGCAGGTTTAAAATTAAGAAAAGAACCTCCGTTGGGTAACAATGATGTACAAATTTCAAAACATAAATCATTACTGAGAACAGTTTTACTATGATATATAATACCTGGACCCTGGATGTCCTATTTAGCATTTCAAAACCCCTTAGAGTTTGTCGCTCAATGTAATTGATGCATGGAAAACTTGTGCTGACTTTTCCCTTCTCCACCAAGAAATTAAAGTTTCTCACTAAAGGAAAATTTGTTTACGTACATTCATGTACACTTCCACTTTGTATTGCCTATTTTGTATTGCGTGTACAATGAGTTAAGTTCACTCACAGTCATTTTTTTGTTTTGTTTAATTTCTTATAGCGATTCTGACATATGTGGTACAAAATTAACTTGGGGGACAAATAAAACAATTATATTTCTTGTGTGTCAGTACTAATAATAGACAGCCTCTTAAAATGGTGAGATTTTTCAGAGGTGAGACATAATTCATTCATCCAGTTTCTTTATAATGCTTTATAAATTGTATTATACCTTCTTACAATTCAGGTTAATACAGAAGTCAAGTGAAGAGTTTTCATGAAGAAATAATGATGTTGTGTTCATCAACTGTCAAAATCTCAATACTGGTAGCTTGCGTAGTTTCGTATCTTTTTGGCTTCAAAAATCACGGATTGCATGCATGAATTAAATTATCCAGACAAAAGATTTGACAGTTTAGCAAATAGAGGGCGCCACACCAATTGAGTATTCCAGTTGTCTGCACATGCGTAACTACATACTTACTCATACAACACCCAATTCTTCAAAATTAAAATCTTTCAAGCAACAAACAAGAATTTTACAAAACAACACACATAATTATTCATGATTACCGGTACATAGTCATACAAATAATGTAAACTGTTTAATTTCCGCTGCTGAGAACTTTTATGATTTCATCCTTTGAACACCATAATATTTCCGTCCAAATGGATTTCACTTTTTGCATATTTTTCTTTATTTTTTGTATAACTTCTTTGTTAATTTTGACTCAAAAAGACACAATTTTCTATTGCTTACAAGTTTTGACTGGAAAATTTGTGTAAAAAATTTATACAGATTTTTTTAGTGAAAAGTGACCAAAGTCAACTTTTGTGTTCAAAAAGGTGAAGGACTTTCATGAAGGAAAAAGTAATGTTCAGTGACTCAGTCTTAATGATCCCAGTGGAAATTTCAACATAACAAAATGTTACTATTTGCAAATGGGCTCATGGGAAATTAAAATAGTTTAAGGCATTCTTTACTCAATGACTAGTGTACATACCAGGTCCTTTGGCACCACCAGGCAGCAATCGTCCCAATCGAAATATCACTGCACGTTCATATTCTTGCACCACCTACAAAGAAAGTTGGAAAAACAAATTATAAAAGTAAATTAAGACTGGTAATGACAGCAACAAAATGAATACAATATTTGCATCTCCAATAAGGATGCACTTACACCAAAAATTGCGTTATTGTGGACTGGATCATAAAATATGGCTTATTTTAACCATGGACACACTGTGGTAATTAACATAAGTGCATGCACTAAATAAAGAAGTTTGGTTCCTGGTAACCACATTGAAAACAAAAATAGGGTAGTACCAGTATAGGCATGTATAACTTTTTATTTTATGTTTAATATATATTCCATACAGTTATACTATAGTTCTCTAAGGTTTATGGTTATACAGAAGCATTATATGAATTAAATGTACATGATGATGTGTCTGTACAGGCAGACATAATCATGTGGGGAGTTTGTGTAACAGGAAATGAGCACCCTCAAGCAGCCACTTTTCAGTTATCTATATAAAGATCTAGGGAAGGTTGGATTTCAAGATCCAAATCTCCTTTTTAATTACTACAAACATTCACACCAAATAAAGAATTGAAGGCATCATTCTTAATTGAATGCTGTGGCAAAACTAGTAGGCCTATGAGCTAACAAGTCGTGTATATTAAAAGTATTGAATTAACTGTCAACCACAGAAATGCCATCTATCAATAATATAAAAGGTTCTGTTTAACATTTAATAAGAAGTATGAGCACTTATTAAAATTACTTGTTAGGATAATAGTTCAGTGTGAGTTCAGTGTAGATGTATAAAATAAAACCAATTGGAAATGGAGCAAAAATACAATATTTGTTAGCACTGTATTTGCTATATTCAAAGCATAAGTGCTCACATAATGTATGTTGCAGAGGTGTTTCTATGGGCAAATAAGTAATATTTTAATGATTCATTATGCAACAAATGCCACTTTGAGCATGCATTTCTATTGGAGATAGGCTTCCAATAGAGGTAATACAGTATAAAGAGAAAACCACTAGAAACTCTGTGATGGGAAATGGTATCAGAACTGTGCAACTTTTATGAGATATGAGATCAAAAAGTATATGGAAACAGGGAGACAGACAGATGGATAGTGAAAGTACATGTATGTATGAATTAGCTACAGGCAAAATCTCATGATTCATTCAGTTATATTGTAATACTAGATTAAAATGTAGAAAACAAAACTCAAAAGACAGATTAAAGGACTATTTGTGTGTAAACATTCAAAGGATTAAGAATCAAGCTATTAAAAATATTGTAACATTTGACATTATTATTTTGTAAAGTGTGTGCAAGATATACATTTGACATTATTATTTTGTAAAGTGTGTGCAAGATATACATTTGACATTATTATTTTGTAAAGTGTGTGCAAGATATACATTTACATTGCCCATGTTTTTAGTGTGGTTTCTGGTCTAGACAGGTTCTTTTCAGATGAAAAGAACAAAGTGGGGTCAGTAAATTAATACACAAGGTGTGCAATGATATATTCTCTGTGTTATTTCAGCAATAGTTCTACATCTACACTTCAACATTTCACTCTGTACTGTGGAAATATGCATATGATATTTAAAATATATAATTCCATTATATTTTGTCTAAAGTTGACGCAAGCATACACTTGTGATTACCAACAGAGTAGTTTCAATCCTCGCCTACATCTTGGATTGATTTAAACTCAGTAAGTATTTTTGTCTACTGACATCAACCTAATAGAAAACATCCAGGAATAATATACAAATTCTGAACATTGGATCACTGAAGCTTGCCTGTACTGAAGGTCATGGTGTCAAATCACAAAATCAAACATAATTTTCATTGCTACTAAATTTTAGGAGATTATTCTAAATTTGATTTCAAGATTTGGTTGGATAAGATTCGTTATGAACTGTACAAAATCCAAAGTCTTTTAATGTTAACAAGAGTCAGTGAGAGGTTTTCTGCAGATCATACAAAGTGGCAATCAACTTTATAGACATATCATGTTCTCCTCAACATTTTTAAAAATCATAAATATATTCAGAACATTATTAAATATTTATGAGGAACCCTGGGGCAGTTCCATGAGAAAGCCTATAGACTATGGAATCTGGGTCACTCTGCATGAATTATGGATGAAACTTATCATTTGGAAGATAAAGTTATTATCACAAACTTACTATCTGTGTTTTGAGGAAATCTAATGCATGTTTTTTTCCTGGGAGGTACAGATATGAACATGTTTTAAGCAGGAGTTTAAAAATACTAGTCAGTCAATAAATGCATTTGATGTAACAGATTCTATATGTATTACTCCATCTTCACAACTTTTTAAAAATAATAATATTTTTCTTGATTTGAAAAAAATTCCACGCATGCACATTGAAAATATGCAGTGTCGTATTCACTCTATTAGAAGAGCATCTCTAATAGAAGTGCACACAGACAGTAAATTGTGCTCATTGTATTCTGGATCATTAAAATTTTTAGTTTGATCATATACACACCCCTGTCAATTTTGTAAGCACATGTGCCACTAATACACGTACATGTAGAACAAACACTGTTTCGTTAATCACATTGCTACTACATGTATTTAATGGAAACACTTGTGTCACATCAAAATTGAGAAATTAATAGGACTTGTAAAATGTACTGCTCTACAACTTTGCACAGAAGTCAGAAAAACACAGAATAGTCATTACATTCAGTTTGCAACTCCGATTTAGCATTTTACCCATTAAAACAAAGTACACATGTAATTATTGATAGAAAGTACATGTTTACATATTAGACAGTCAGCAGTGGCACCAAATTATTATACAATCATTACTCCATAGATAATAACCTTGTCTAGACAGAAAAGGCTTAAAATGAACTTCTAATGGCAAAGACATACATGTAATTAGTATTATTTCATGCCGTCTGTCGAAGTTGAACACATTATCACTCACTCTGTTCAGCCTTTTCTTTCCAGAACTATATTTACATCCCAAATCTTAATTTGGCCATAGAGGGCGTATATACTTTTATTAATTTTTAAAATTCAAATGCAGAGTTGCATTAACCTGATGAAGAAATACCATGGTCAACATGCTCCTAATACATGTACAAGCGTATTTTAGTATAATAAATGGTCAGTGAAAAAAAAGATACCATTTTTATTTCTCAAATCAACATGGTGAAAACAAGACATCTGAGGTGGCCACTTTTTAACTGTTATAAAAACCTGTACTAATTCTGTCAGCTTGGAATAAGTATACATTAACACTAGAAATGGAAATCTGATCTGACAGATAGTAGCAACATGAGAATAAAATCAACAAACTAGAATGGAACTTAACATTAAAGTAGACTTATTCTGATGTAATTTTAATGACTAGTGCGAAAGGACAAGATAATATCGAGTTACACACATTACACGAAATTATGTACACCAATATCTGTATAATGTACCATCTGTACAAACAAAGAGTATGGAACTGCCACGACTTGATTGACTGAAAACAACAAATTATGTTGACACACTTATTTTCACTGATTTGTCATAAATTACAAGCAGACTTACTATTCACTGGATTTTATTTTCGTTGATTTACATCTTCAGTAAAAATAAACTCCACATTAAAATATAGTGTTCCACAGCAGTGAATACTTGGTCGCTTAAAAATGATCAAAACTGGGAAAACTCAAAGAAACGATTATATGTCTTACATTACAATACAGTACTCAAGAAATTACTAGTTTATTTTGAGAGTACTCCACAAACAATATGTCAGAACTGAATTCACTACTACACAATAATTGCACTGATATACATGTCAGGCTTATTTAGAAATTTCTGCATAATACAGCTTAGGAGCACTGCTCAGAACAAACCATTATAACTTTATTTTAGCTAGCATTACCAAGTAGGGCATACAAACTAACCAATTATTGTGATTTCAAAGTTACATGTAGGAGCTTAAGCTTTTCACAGCCAGACTTTTGTCGCCCCAAATTATTTTGCACTTTTTTTCTTATATTCTTCAATATTTCTGGAAATGAACCCTTTTTTTGGAGCCAACAGACTAAATTTGAGCCAATTTTCAGTTTTTACTCAAAAAATTTGGCCATTTTTGTGCCAATCTTCTGAAAGAAAGTGCAGACTATAAACAGGACTATTTTGTGAACACCACCTTTCAAAGAACTAACAGACATCACAATAGTGGTCCATCTTGGTTTCTAATAATAAAACGTTTATTCTGCCTTATAAATTCTGATTATAAATACAAGTGTGTACATACTCAATGTAATAAATACAGTGTATAACACATTTTGGCATGAATAATAATGCTAAATACATGTACACACACAGTATCAATAGTCTGAACTGAATACATGTATACAAATGCATAGTTTAGAGAAGTCCCCTTAAAAAGTGCCACTAATACATGTAATAGCAGAATTCATTTTGCAACATTAGTAGAAATAAGGTGTACATGTATCATTCAAATAATGAGGGTCGTACACATAAAAGTAGATAACATGGAATCTTTTCTTGCATCTATCTGGTATCTGCTATGAATTCAAACATAAAATATAATTTATCGCCAAAGTAAAATAACATCTCTGAACAACATTCATATTCTTCAGATAGCAGTTAAGTTAATGGTTTAATTATTTTTTATAATGCGTGGCCAGTGTGGGCACATCTCTACTTTTTAATGACGTATCCACCCTTAACAGATTACTAATACTTATGGTATTTTGTTTCCAGGTTCTGTGGGGGCGGGGGAACAAGCTAGGCTTAGTTGTGATGTTCACATAGAATTGTATGAAACATTCCATAATCCATTTAAATGCTATAATTCTCCCGCCAACATTTTTACATATATATATATTTGAATTATTTTTGAGCAATTAATATTTTTTTTTAATTTAAGAAAAAATTCTGCAGGTTTATTTCATGAATGAAGACAATAGTTCATTTCGGCATTCAATATTTGAAAACTTCATTTCAAACATCAAAGGATACCGTGATTTCTTTTTTTGAAAAATATGACATGCAAATAGTTTTCCCCAC